TTTAAACAAACAAACAAACAAAAATGCTTAAAATTGAGGCATACTTGATTTAGCTGAAGTATGCAGGTGGGCCAATTGACTTGGACTCCTTGGGCCTCAGTTTAATTATCCATGAAACAGGAAAATCAATATTAACCCTCCTTGTTGGGAAAACTAAATGCGGTCAGAGGTTTAAAAAAGTCTACATTTAAATATTAAAAGTACAACACAGAAACACAATACAGTTAAGAAACCACTAGATTTGAGCTTAACTAGTAAGCATGTTGAGGGCAAGGGTTGTATCCCTCATTGTTGTATCCCTATAAATCTGTCTCAAGCATATTTTGAATGAATGACCAGTCAATTTTTTATAACTTCATTGTAGCGCTATTGTCATCTCCAGGTCTGGTGACAGACACATTGCCTGAGGAAGATGTAGATTTCCTGTAGCAAACTCTCTGATCTCCGTCACAAGGGTCAGCATCTCTGAAATTTTGCTGGCTAACTTGATCAGTCAGCGAAATGAAGATGGCAGATCCTCACGTGAGCATAATTACAGGCTGTATAATGCCTCCTCTATGCACCTAGCTATTACTTCAGCAATTAGCCATAGTTCATGGGTAATCATATAAAACAATGACTTAGTTGATGACTATAAATTAACTAGCTACTTTCCTAGGTCAAATACACCACCTAAACTCAGAAATAGCTATAAAATTACTCAAACCATAAGTTAAGGATAAATGAAGATAGATGGTGTTAGAGTCACATTCCTGAAACTCGTTAAAATACTCATGGAGAAAAATGGGAATGTGGTCTATGACCATGAAGACTGGGGCAGATTAAGAAATGGTGCTTGGTGGGGGTGATTATGGGCAGAATTAAAGTGAGTTCTTCCAAGAGCCATGTATGAAGTAGAACTGGACTGAACCAACTCCTGTTCTCTATTCAAGTGGTTTTACTCTTCCTACCCTCATCCCACTCCATCCCCGAAATTTCTAATCTCCCATTAATACACAGTAGCAGCAGCCTCAAGTCCAGTAGTTACCTTCTTTTCCTAAACAGCACTAATCCAGATCTAAAAGCCTTAAAAAGAGAAAGAACTAGACAGTCTCTGCATTCTGACACAACATTTAAAACAAGGGGATTTTGATGCAACTGTTTTAACTTGGTTGTTTTCATGTGGGACTTTTTTTTTAAATCCTCACCCAAGGATATTTTTCTATTTATTTTCAGACAAAGTGGAAGGGAGAAAAATATCAACACGAAAGACACACATTGACTGGTTGCCTCCCACACAACCCTGACCAGGGCTGGGGACTGAACTGCAACCGAGGTATGTGCCCTTGACTGGAATCGAACCCGCAATTCTTTGGTCTGCGGGCCAATGCTCTAACCACTGAGCAAACCTGCCAGGGCTCATAAAGGACTATTTTGACCCAATCTAAAAGTTAGCCATTAAACTTTAGCATTCTCCACCCCCAAATAATGTGTCCATCTTGACTACTTCAGGATAGAATAATGTTAGTGCCTATTGTGCATGTTACCTGGCAATTAAAAAGAAAAAAGGTTTAGCCCTGCTGGTGTGGCTCAGTAATTGAGCATCATCCCATGCACCGAGAGGTCGCCTGTTCGATCCCCGGGTTTCGGGCTCTCGAGTGTACAGGAGGCAGCCGATTGATGTACATCGATGTTTCTCTCTCTCTCTCTCTCTCCCTTCCTCTCTTTCTAAAAAATAATAAATTTCTAAAAATCAATATAAATATATATTTTTAAAAAAGGTTACATTTGACAGGCCATTGTGATGCAGCCTCGTCACAATCAGATACTCCGGCCAAGTTCTCTAAGCTGCCTTGTAGCCACTTGTGAAAATGCTTCTATACAGCCACTTCTCGAACAACATTTCATTCAATATTATTTAGTTACGATGTTGGAACCTGACTCTTGTTTATACCAATTAGCCTACATTAAAATCAATCTCATTACACATCATTTCACTTAAAGTTGTGTAAAAATAATAAAGTAGGGTGAACCATGCACAACAACTTTATGCTTCCAAGTACTAACTGCTGTAACTCAACGTCCTTCCCCTCTGGCTCCGGAAGTCCTTAGAGCCAGGGGGCTGTGAGAGGGCCAGTTCTACCCAGAGTCCTCAGAAGCCTGCAAAGATTTACAAACTAGCAAGGAAACTTATTCAATTCAGGGCTTTTCTCAAAAGTCCATCTTGAGTCTACTATATTAATTTTCCCCCTTCATTTTTTAGAAGCAGCTACTGAGGGTTATTTCTTCCAAGTAGCCGTCTAATAGGTTGTATATGAGCATTCCTTAAAGTTCACATACATGGCTTTATTTGAATGTTACTTTCTCTTTGTAAATGTGGTTGCTCAACCAAATGAGAATACTATCTGCTATGTATGTGGTATGAAGCTTAATGGCTTAAGACAGTTCTTAAAGTTTGCTTCAATTATCTACCATTAGGGTTGGAATGTAGTGGTACCTCTGCAGATGCTTTTCCTCTGGTTGGTTAGGGCGTCAAAGGCCAGTGTTAGGAAGTTATATAGTTACTTGAAAATGTATCATAAATAGAAAACAATTTTCTGTGGCTGAAAGAACCTCACCTGGAGAAATGTGTATCAGTAATCCTGTCTCCCTAAATAAAACAAAATAATTAAGCCCTCTTCTCTTATGTCAGGGTCTTATGAGGATAGTCGTGAAAGAAAAGCCTCTTTGGAAAAGAGGAACCCAAGAGAAGTAGGTTCTGCTCTAATGGACAGGGATAGCAGGAATCCCATACAAGTCTCAGCAGATAGCCTGAAGTCAGTATGGTTGACATAGGGTATAGGGTGGTAGCCAGAAGTTAGTTCTTCAGCTCTCAACAGGAAAGATGGTGACCTGCAAAAATTAACTGAGGTCCAGAACTAACATCACAGTCACAATAACCATACCCATTCAAAGGAAAGCAGACCTGGAGTACTTACATTGGAGTCCAGGATAAGGAAAAAAAGGGATAGGAGATTAGGACCACTTCTACCTCTGGTACACAAATAAATGAGCTTCCTTTCTTTCATTAAAAAAAAAAAATTACTTAGAATGAAGTACTTAATTTAGCTGAAATATGCATGTAGGCTAGGGAGAAATGCAGTAGGCTATGTAAGAATGACTGAAGTTAGCCAACGCAAGACATCTGAAAGTCTATGTGAATCAATGTTAGTTTCAGATAGAAAGCTCTTGGAAGGCAGAGAATGTGTTTATAGCACTATAGCTTAATTAATATGTGTTTGAAGAGAAAAGACCAAACCTCCAGGGAAAAGATGCTGACCTAATCTGGCCAATACTTTCAGCCATTATTATCTCCAGGGACCACTGAAATGTCAGACAATCACTGAAATTACATGGACAAAGCCACAAACCCACAAAAAAAACCCACATCCTGAGACACACTGCTTGCCTGCTACCAATTTCCCCCTCAAAGAGACAAGGAATTGATGCAGGCTGGTAATGAAATAGGCTACTTGGGCTTCAATCCAGATTACTTCTTGAAGGAGTGGGATAAAGTCATGCTTTCTGCTTAATTCAAGATGCAAACATACTACACAGAGCAGAAAATTCTCCTGGACCCTGAACCCTGCTTTTGCTACATGAGGACACACATGTTACATCTTCCATATGCTTGAGAGAACAGAAATCTGAACCAGCAAACAACAAAGGCCATAGCACAAAATTTATTGGGATTATTTACTAAATAATTCATATATATCCAACATGACTGAATGGAAATAATATTAATTTTATTTTGTTTTTAATAGCAAGGCTTCCACTGGGGTCTTTCAAGAAAGTAAAAAAAACTTCTTGGTGACTGTATCTTTAACAAAATGACCTAACTAGTGAAGTCAGATGTATCTCAATCCCTAAATTCAATATTGCTGACATGTTTTTCTACTTAAAAAGCAAACAAAAAACAAAGCTTCATAATTTAGTAATTATTATGTTTCTTGATTTTTTTCTCAAATTCCACATAAAGATAATTTGATGAAAGAAAGCAAAGCACCTAGTCTTAGCGGTCTCCTTAAAATCCATAAGATTACTTTCACAACACCAATGTCAATATTTGGATCCCGCCTGATGGGCTTCTTCACTTATGTGAATAGGAATACACTGAAAACCTTAAGCCTTCACTCTTGCTTCATACTACCTTAACCATTTGATTAAATTACCCATAAAATCCCTCTGTACTAGCTGGCCCAAATCACCAGATAAGAATTCATTACAACCTCTTACGAGAAATCAAGATGTCAATACAAATTTTGGTGGCTAATATATTATAGTACTTATGAATACTTTGTTTTTTTAATGGCAAGTATGTTGTAAATTCATTATTAACAAGTGAATTTCATAACACACATAGAAATAAGTCTATTACAATACAGGGGTGGGCAAAAGTAGGTTTATAGGTGTGACTATGCAAAACAGAGTTAATAAAGCTATTGTAATAATCATAACCCATGTCTTTTTCCATATGAACTGTAAACCTACTTTTGCCCACCTCTATAAGAATATTCACAAACTGTCCTCACTATTCCCAAAGGCTTTAAATATAAAATTTTAATTACATTAAAAATTATACAAAGTCAAAATTTAATTATATTAATAATTATACAAAGTCAAAAGGTGCTGAAGACGAGAACATTCTAATAAGTCTCATAAGAACCTTGAATACCACTTTGCATTGGTAATGGCAGAAAAAAGCAAGGAGAAAATAAATTTATCAGAGATTTTTAAAGGAAAAATAGATCTAAGAAAAAATTCCTTTTGATTCTACAGCCATTTTATTCTGTACCTTTCCATGCTTCAACATGATGCCAAAAAAAGAATTTACTGAATAAAAGTAGCCAGGAAGGGAATCAAACATTTATAAGATATATTTATTATTTTTCTGACCAAAGTGCAGTGATTTTTAAATCTTCTTAAACAAATAACTATGAAAAAAATATTCAAGAAAATAAAATACAAATGGGAAATTTAAGCATTAGATTTCTTCTACTTTACACTAACCTTATAGTCTAGAAAAAAAACAAACACCTCATTTTATCATAAATTTAGTACATGCATTTCAAGGTTCCACTGCTAGGAATTTTTTTGAGATCAATTTAATCATTAATAACTCTATATAACAGAGCATAAGGAACACACGTCATTAGATGTGATACTTGTCCCTTATCCTCAGATTTGTGTCAGAATAGAGCTGACAATTCTACCAGGCTCTGAACCCTCAGTGCCCCATCCCAATCCCTGTAAGCAAAGACTATGCCCTGTCACACAACTCTGTATAAATTGTAGTAAAATGTAGCCTAAGATTTCTTACCTTTCTATAGGATATGGTCAGTTAGTGGATAAGTACTAAAACACTTCTAGCAATTCATTTTATGAGTTTGTTTACCAAACACATTGTACAAGAACTGACTACACAAAAGTTCCTTTGGAATGTGGTCCACAAATTCACTTAACAGGTTGAAAATTTAAAACCTGTAAGAAAAAAAGGAACTGAGGAATCCCTAATCCTGACACGTAGCGATTACTAAAGGGATAAACACATACTACTGTATAATGTTTTGCTCACAGAAGGCACAAACTATAAAAGGGATATTCTTATCGAATAAAGACAAAGGACTAGCTAATGCCCTTCTTTGTTTGGTGAGCACCATAGCTAAGATAAAGTTACACCCGAATTCACTGTCTACTCCTGTGACAAAAAAATACGTTGAAGATAAAAAATTTAATTTGTCTTACTATGCACTTTCTGGCCACTAATTGTGATATAATTATGAAAGATTAAAATTGCCTTATAAAGGGATTGTGACAGCAGCTATCAAAGCAATATTCAAGCATGACTTCAAGGATGTTTTCAGGTTTAGAATTAGCCTTCTTTGTCAAAAATCTTCACAACTTCATCAAAAACCTGTAAAGGAAAAAGATAGTAATAATTTTAAAAGAAGATATTGTTAAAATATCATATGGCTTAAAAATATACTAATTTTATATTTCCAAAATAGATTTTTAAAAATTATGGTTCATTAGTTTCATCTATTTTACTTTAGACAGTAATATAATATCATAAATAATACATATAAAATTATGAACATGTTTCATTCAATTTTATTACTGTTTTTAGGACAAAATAAACTTCTTGATTGGCTACCAAAAATTGATAAAATGAAAGTGGTGTATCGTCCTTCTGATTCTTTTCTGATGTATCATCACCACTATAGAGAGTGGCAATTGATTAAAAAAGCAAAAATGACTATAAAATAAAAAATAAAGGTCCAGAGGAAGATTCAGGAAATCAGGGAAAGACTGGGTAAATTAAAAGGCACTAGAAATAGTTGGTGGACCCTGAGGGCTTGTGAACCACACCTGAGAGACAGCTGACTTAGGAAGGAAGAGAGCAGTGCCAAGTCACAGAAACCCTGCACCTCTGAAGCTATGTGTTCTTTCTTTTCATTTTATTGAATTTATTGGGGTGACACAGGTTAACAAAATTATACAGGTTTCAGGTGCATGATTCCACAACACATCATCTGTGCACTGTATTGTTAAGTTTAGCACCCCAAGTCAAGTGCCCATCCATCACCATTTATCCTCCCTTTCTCTTATTCCCCTCCTACCACCCGCTCCCCCTGGAGCTATGTGCTCAGTGCTAGAAAGGCTGAAGGCAGCCTGGGGCTCCTGAGCTAGATGATTTGCCATTCACGTTATAGATTTTTTTGAAATGCTCATTGTCCAAATAATAGTCTCAAAATGCCAATTTTCAGTATTTGAGAAATGAGGTTTGGAATTAATAAACCACCCACTCCTTATGAAGAAAAAGTCTGAGGTTGTAAAACCCAGATTAGACTCTATTCAAAAAGGAGAAAAGCCCGGCTAGCGTGGCTAAGGGGTTGAGCTTCGACCCAAGAGGTTCCTGGTTTGGTTCCCAGTCAGGGCACATGCCCAGGTTTGGGGCTCTCTCCCCAGCAGGGGGGCGGGGGGAATGTAGGAGGCAGCCAATCGATGTTGATGTCTCTCTCTCATTGATGTTTCTCTCTCTCTCTCTCTTCCTTTCTCTCTAGAATCAATAAAACATATATTTTTTTAAAAAGGAGAAAAAGCCTAATTTTTCATTTAATCTCCAGTGTCTTGAAAAGCAAACTATTCTGGACTTCCAGTCAAGATGGCGGCGTAGGTAAACGACCATCATTCTAAACCACCTGAAATCGAGCAGAATGTTAGTCCTACAACTACGGAATTAAAGAAGCAGCCTCATCAAGACTGGTAGGAGAGGCGGAGGCGGACAGGCTGGTCCCACACCCACGTGTGGCGGATAAAAATCAGGAAAGACTTTGGCTGGGAAGGTCCTCCCTGAGGACTAAGGGGCCCCTGTCTCACACCAGGCACCTAGCTAAGGATTCCAGTGCCAGGAAGGGAATCCCCATAACTTCTGGCTGTAAAACCTGCGGGAACTGGGGCTGAGAGAGGCTGAGGCAGCTGGAGCCACAAGCAGCTCCTCTTAAAGGGCCCTCACACGGACTTACTGGGACTGGCTCCCTCCAGGCTCCAGCGTGGGGGGCCTTGAAAAGCACCAGAGACATATGGGGAAAAGCTGAGTTGTTTGGCATTGGAGCGAGGGCTGGAGAGGCAGCTTTCTACTGGACAGAGGTGCTATCAGAGGCCTTTATTCCTTTGGTGAGCCCTTCCCCTACAAGGCCAGCAGACAGTTGCCATATCTAGGACTCCAGCAACCTGACTCACAGAGTTTGCCCCCCCCCCTGGTGATTCCCTGAGGCCCCACCCCACCAACTTTCAGGTCCACCCAAGCTGTTGCTAGTTGCTTTACCATAGGATTGGCCTGTCTTGGATCCTGCTTCAGGTTTTCCTAAATTCTTTCAAACAAGTAGCATAAGTAATACATAGAAACAGGGAGGCAGCCAAAATGAGGAGATAAAAAGGTCCCAAATGAAAGAACAGAATAAAACTCCAGAAAAAGAACTAAGCGAAACGGAGATAAGCAACCTAACAGATGCTGAGCTCAAAACACTGCTTATAAGAATGCTCAGTGAACTTAGTGAGAACTTAAATGAACTTAGTGAGGGCCTTAAGAGCATAAAAAAGGACCAGTCAGAAATGAAGGATGCACAGTCAGAAATGAGGGAGGCACTAACTGAAATAAAGAATAATTTACACAGATTCCATAGTAGAGTAGGTAAAGCCAAGAAGCAAACCATCGATTTGGAATATAAGGAAGCAAAAAACACCCAATCTGAACAGCAAAAAGAAAAAAGAATCCCAGAAAATGAGGATAGTGTAAGGAGCCTCTGGGACAACTTCAAGCGTGCCAACATTCGCATCTTGGGGGTGCCAGAAGGAGAAGAGAGAGAACAAAATATTGAAAACCTATTTGAAACAATAATGGCAGAAAACTCCCTTAACCTGGTGAAGGAAAGAGACATACAAGTCCAGGAAGCACAGAGAGTCCCAAACAAGATGAATCCCAAGAGGCCCACACCAAGACACATCATCATCAAAATGCAAAAGGTTCAAGATAAAGAGAAAATCTTAAAAGCAGCAAGAAAAAAGCAGTTAGTTACCTATTAGAGAGTTCCCATAAGACTGTCAGCTGATTTCTCAAAAGAAACTTTGCAGGCCAGAAGGGAGTGGCAAGAAATATTCAGAGTGATGAAAAGCAAGAACCTACAATCAAGATCACTCTATCCTGCAAAGCTGTCATTTAGAATCGATGGTCATATAAAGAGTTTCCCAGACAAGAAAAAGCTAAATGAGTTCATCACCACTAAACCATTATTATATGAAATGTTGAAGGGTCTTCTTGAAGAAAAAGATAAATATGAACAAACAAAATGGCAACAAATACATATCTCTATAGACAATTGAATCTACAAACAAAATGAACAAGCAGAACAGAAACATTCTCATAGATACAGAGAACATCTTGTTGGTTGCCAGATGGGAGGGGGGTTGGAGGAATGGGTGAAAAAGGTGAAGGGATTAAGAAGTACAAATGGGTTGTTAGATTGACAGACCTCAGAGGTAGGGGGGTGGGGAATGGGAGGAAATAAACCAGAGAACTTATATGCATATATGCATAACCAATGGACACTGAAAAGTGTGGGGAAAGGCAGGAGGGGGGTGGGAGTGGGGAGGAGGGTGTCAATAAGGGAAAAATGAGGAACATATGTAATACATTCAACAATAAAGATAAGTTAAAAAAAAAAAAAAAAGCAAACTATTCTGTCATAGTATTTTTTTCTCCTGCCTATGCCTTCCATCACATTTTCACTAAAGTATTTTTTTTTATCCTCACCCAAGGACATTTTTCCATTTTTGTTCAGATAGAGTGGGAGGGGGAGAGAGGAGGAGAGAGAGAGAGAGAAACAGCGACATGAAAGGGACACATTAAGTGGCTGCCTCCCGCACGACCCCAACCAGGTCTGGGGAGGAATTGCAACCAAGGCACGTGCCCTTGACCAGAATCGAATCCCGCGACTCATTGGTCTGTGGGCCGATGCTCTAACTGCTGAGCCAAACTGGCCAGGGAAAATTTTTTTTTAAGGCAGGATAGTGATACTCACTTCATCAACAGATTTAGAAGCATCTATTTTCTTGACTTTCCCCATTTCTTCATATAAGTCAATAACTGGTTTTGTTGACTGAAGATAGGTTTGAATTCTGCAAAAAAAAAAAAGCAAATATTGCAAGGTTCTAAGTATCCCACAGAGGACAACACTGGATCTGATCCAAATGACTCCCTTAGCATCTTATTAGATAGGCCATTTCACATATTTAAGCATAACATTTTCTTTTTCTAGACCAAAATCAGGCAAGTATTTAACCTGCTACTCGAGTTCCAAACTGAGACTGAGGTGGCTTACTGGATAAAAACTGCAATGTACCTCTTTTCCAAGCTCTCTCTGTTGTCATCACTCCTACCACTACTCTTTCCCCTCTCAAGACATCGTTCAATACAGATCTAGAAAGAGAAATATATAAAACGTTATTTTAAAAAAGGAAAGATATAAATTTGCCATTCTTTTATCCTGAAAAAGGAATAAAGTTTAAAGAGTTAAAAACAAAAAAAACTTGCATTAAACTGAATGTGTCTAATTCATTAATCAAGATGTAAAGTCCTTTTAAATTTAAACATGTGGTTCAACTTATATAAACTAGGTTAAATAAGTACAGAGCATAATAAGAATTCATTCAAGACCCAGTTTTTCCTGTGTATTTCAAACTGAAATAAAAAGATCTATATAATGTGTATGGTTCCATCTAGGATATATTATTAACTTATTAGGTATGAATTACATGCCTCTGACTTTGTTCTATTTTTGCTCACTTTTCAGTAATTCCATAAAGATCCAAATATTTAAGAATCAACATATTTGCATTTGAATAAAGTATCCCTTGTTAATCATGAATAAACATTCCTTAGTTATAAAGCTGTGGTAACATTCTAAAGTTAACTTTGAAGAGTAAGTGAAAACATATTTTTGGGGGTTGAAGAAGAGTTACATTTTAAAACAACTCAAAAGGCTTCAGCAAGTCCCTCCACCAGAGGCACATTTGCAATTCAACCAGCCAACTTCCTTCAAGGCAGTACTTCGTAATCTTTTTTTTAAATTTTTTTTCCCCTTTATTGATTTTAGAGAGTGAGGAAGGGAGAAGGAGAGAGAGAAAAACATTGATTGACCACCACCTGCATGCCCCACACTGGGGATTGGGCCCACAACCTGGGCATGTGTCCTGACTAGAAATCAAACCAGCGACCTCTTGATGTATGGTCGACGCTCAACCACTGAGCCACACCAGCTGGACCATATTCTTATTCTTTCAGGTTGTTGGCATTAATTGAATTAAGTTCACAGGTATGAAATAGTCAGGCCTTTTAATTAAATAATTCCACAAAATCAATTTAGTTATTCAAAGGTATGTCTAAGCATGTTATTAGAAGTGCCAGAAAGAAAAAGAACATTTTCCTGCTTTTTTCAAAATCATTATACTCTATGAAGACAAATCAGGCGATCTTCGATGTTTCCTTGAAACAGACAGTTTTCCCAAATTCCCAGAATATGTGCTTCTTTTCCAGTAAACAACCATCCTAAGGCAAGATACTCTCTCTGATGATAGGCATACCTATGAAGTAACAGGGCAGCTTCATTACCTAACATTTTATACATCAGTTTGTACTTAAAAACAAAGCAAAACAAATTCTTGTTATTTTAAAAATAAACAAAATTTAGGTCCATAAGGTTGCTGATGCCAAAATGTGTTTAACACTCCAACAGCAGGACAGTGTCATTCTGTCCATCAAATGTTCCAATTCAAGAAAAAATACTGCTACCAATATAAATGTAAATATAAGTAAAAAGTCACTTTGCATTTCTCTAATAGTTGAATCAAGTTGCTTCAAGTCCAAGTGGGTAGATGAAGATGTTCATTACCTCATTATTACAATCAAAAAACAAAACGAAAGCTATATCTGCCTTCTCGTCCATGGTCTTGTTCCAACCTTGAAGGTTGTCTTGATTTCTTGGAAACCCATCAATCAAGAATTTATTCTTCTGAGCATTGGCGGCCATTGTCTGATCCATTTCCTAAAGGAAAAGGAAAATTTAGGGTCAAATCATTAACAAAATGCAATTTCTTAAGAAGGGTAGTGGTGTTTATTATTATTCCTTAAATCATAAGTAAAGCATGAAGGATGCATAGAAAAAACACACATTTAAAGAAAATTATCTAATGTGTTAACATGGATGCCTCAAGCTGGTGGAATTATGGGTATGTACCCTTTCCCCATTTTATGCACATACACATACAATTTTTTGTAGTTTCAAAAGGTTCTACAGTAAGCACGTATTACTTTCACATACACATTCATGAAGTTATAAACAGCAAAAAGAGAAAAATAAGCATTGATCAATATCTCTGCTTCAACCACTAGAGACCCTATCCTGCTTTTCCCTTCCTCTTCCCAAGTCATTTTGCTGTGGTGAGAAGTGTGCTGCAACTAAAGGCACTCAGGTTCTCTGCAACAATTCAAGTTCAATTGCTAAAAGCTCTGGAAAACTATAAAGAAACTGCTAGTATTAATTAGTAGGAGTCAATATCCTTTTTATTTAAACGGAAGTTAATTAAACCTAAATGCCACTGGTTACCCCCAAACACAGGTAGCACAGAAAACAACACATTCAGAGAGATAGAAGAAGAGCACATTTCACCATCCTCTTCCAAAGTCTGAATTTGGGTAGAATGTGGGAATATGTGAATGGGAGATGCAGATCCCTAATCTCCAAATCCTTACCATTACCAATCACCATGGATCAGCACAGATGCACAACTTAGCCAAACTCCTGAGGAGTCTCTATTCCAAAGCAAACCAATATCCAATCCTGTAAGTGCTCACATTGTTTTCTATTTCCTCAAGAACAATGACTGTCAGGACCATTGATTCCTTTATATGAGGGTTGGCTTTTTATTTTCCTGTCAATCCTCACCCAAATAAAATTTTCCATTGATTTTTAGAGAGAGTAGAAGGAAGAAAGGGAGGGAAGAAGGCGGGTGGGGGAGGAGGAGAAGAAGAAGAGGAGAGAGAGAGAGATACATCAATGTGAGACAGACACATGGATTTGTTGCCCATCACATGGCCTGGGAAAAACCTGCAACCCAAGCACATGTCCTTGACCGCAACTGATCCCATAACCCTTCAGATGGATGCTCTAACCACTAAGCAAAACCAGCCAGGGCCTGAGGGTTGGCTTTATCCCAGCATCTAGCTTCTCCAATGTTCAAAAAAATTCAAAAAAATTATTCTGGACCCCTGCTATAGCATTTCTACCCCAATTATGGTAGTGGAAGATATCTGAAAAGGTACATCAATATTCTACTCACTCAACACACCTTTATTCGAGGCCAACTATCAGGGATCATGAAGAGCAAGGTCATGGCCCATGGGGAGCTCACAGTCAGTGGGCAACAAATATGTAATTAAATGTGCTAAGTTCTATGATGAGGTATAAACGAATGCTATGGTAAAACAAAGAAACAAGCGCAAACTACGTAGGAAAGTGGGAAGCTTTACCCAAGAGGTGGCAGTGGAGAATCCTGAAAGGTGATGTAGCAGGAAGACAGAGATCCAGGTACTTCAGATGGGGTAAACTGGATGTATAAGAAGAAAAGAGGATATAAACTAAGGTGACAGTGATAATAGAGAAAAGAGACTAAACAGAAGAGGATTAAGAGAAAGGTATATGAAGGATCTGCGTCCAGGCCAGTTTGGCCCAGCAGTTAGAGCATGGGCCTGTGGACCAAAGAGTCATGGGTTTGATTCCAGTCAAGGGCACGTACCTGGGTTGCAGGTTTGATCCCTAGCCCTAGTTGGGGTCATTCGGGAGGCAACCAATCAATGTGTCTCTCTCACATCAATGTTTCTCTCTCCCTCTCTCCCTCCCTTCCACTCTAAAATTCAATGAAAAAATATCCTTGGGTGAGGATTAACATACACACATAAAAGGAAGGACCTGCTCACTGAATAAATTTGGGAAAGCGAGAGAGAGCAAAGTGGAAAATATAACATGGCACCCAGATTTCAGGCTTGGGCAACTGGGTAGATGAGATGGTAGAACCATTCACCGGGACAGGAAATAAAGGTGATCACATTTCAGATGATACATTCAGTCTCTGTCATGGTGATTTTGAGACACTTATAAGACATTCAGATGGATGCCTAGTATTTAGCAAGAAATACGGGTCTGAAAAAAAATTTGTGTGTTGGGCATGGCTAAAACCATCCATCAAGAAATATATAAAATGATAGTAGAACCCAGGATAAAATCCTGAGGAGTCATTGAAGTAGGAAGAGAATCAAGAAAATTGGAGTCACAGAGAACAAAAGAATGAGTTTCAAAAGACAGTACGTTGAGTTAAATGCTACAAGAAAAATGACTATAAATATCCCTTAGATTTGATACAGATTATTGGTAACACCAGTAAGAATAGTTTCAATGAAGATGGATATAGAACCTGGAAGGGTTAAGAGTGAGTAGAGTGAGTAGAAAGTAAAAAAGTAAAAACTGTAGACTAGAGAATAAGGAAAAGATTGATTTAGCCTGGAATGGAAGCAGGTTACTACAATCTCTCAGACAAGAAGTAGGAGTGTATGTGAATGAGCTACTCTTCATATTCACGTTTTTCTGGTTCCATCCAGATGCTGACATATCTCTTTTCATCAGCTTCGACTATTCTTGCTGGTCCCACTCTTGCGTTTCTCCTTCACTGATTCTTATATGTGAAAATACCCCTTAATGACTACAGCCTTGGGAATCTATAGTGGAGAGTTATCATGAAAATGCAAGGTAATCTGTTTTTCAGGTGGGACATATTTTAGTTTGATAGCTGTTAGTCTTGGCATTTCATACTTAAGATGCTGATGCATGAAAAAAAAAAAAAAGAGATATGAAGACCGAGAGGATGGCAACAATAGGAAGGTCATGGGAGCAAGGGGGAAGAAGGAATGAAGGTAACTAAGTTTGCAAGAGAATAGAAAAGAGAGAGGAGATGGAGGAAGAGGAGGAGGGGAAAGAGAAAAAGAAACAGAAATGGAAAAAAGATTGTCAAGTGCATACATATGAATGTTAAGTTGAGCTGTAGCTGACCCTAGACCAAGGTAGAGAATGCTTGCTACTGTCCAATTGCTTCCCAGGTAAAAGTGCAATTTCCATTCTTAAACACCATGGGAATCTTCTACATGCAAGAAATTCAATACTTTGATTTTTTTCATTACTAAAAGAAAAGGTAGATTTGATTTCTCATTTCCTTGCTGGTTTAAATTGGTAGACATTCATACTCCTTACCCTCTTTAACAAACTGATGGTTATCTCAACTGGCACAATCTTTCCATCTTTAATGTACTTTTCAATGAGTTCACCATACTGTGAATCTGGGTTTTTCCTTTCATCACGAAGAAGTTCTCCTGCAGAAAGGTGTATGTAGCCATATTTCTGAAAGAAACAACACATGGGGAAAAAATATCAGAATACATTCAACCCAGTAGGTTATTGGCTTTTTCCCCTTTGTTTCCATTTCTATACTCCATTTTTTTCTTACAACAAAAAAGCTTTGCTTATATATTAAATAATTTAAATTTTTAAGAGAGATTTAATGCAATCTCTCAATTTGCTTAAAAAATATACTTTACCTACACAGGGCATGGTAGCTATAATGTTCACAAATCATGAAATCCTCCCCAAATTTATCTAATTATTCAAGGTATTGCAATCTCGTTATATTCCTTCACAAACACAATCAATGTTTAAATGTTATTAACATTCAAAGAAGTGCCTAACAAACACCTATAAGATTCAAGGCCAAAAAAAAAAAAAAAAAAATCTTACCATTGTTGGCTGTACCTACCTTCTATAAAATATGCTTCCCTTCCTTAAACTCAACATATCTAAATTGAACTCATCAGCACAAACCCCATTCTTCTGTTTTGTTCCCTTTCTCAGTAAACAGCACAAGTCCTAGTTCCTACACAAAATTAGCTTTCCTGACCACTCTAGAGAGTGGTCACACAATCAAAAAGTGTCTTAGAGTATCTCTGTCTCTCCACCTAGATCAGTATCTTCCTTACTACTCTCAAATGTCCATTTCCTACCTCTCTAGTGAGGTCTCATTAAAATAGAAATACAGTTACCTATTTCATAAGTTAATGAGATAATTAAATGAAATATATGGAAACTGCAAACCAGAGAGCCTGACACATAATAGGGGAATAAAAGCCATCAATTATCTCTTTGTCATCATGAAAATATTTATCTTAAATAACCTGGAAGCATTTTTACATTTTATATATACCATTTTTATATTATAGTATGTGTACGTATGTATTCATTTTAATGGTTTTTAGAGAAAAACTAACCAAGGGGCTTGAGATAATAAATATGAATATCCTATGAAAGGTCAGTAAGTATAGTATTATGACTGATTATTATTATTATTAAGGACGTACAAATGATGTATTAGGTCATAGGTCACGGTATAGGGTAGTTGAGCTAAGTCATATAAGATGCTATGGTGTTGTTCTGCCATTTTCCCAAGGTCAGAATGAGAAAACAATATAGATCTACGAAATAATTCTGAATACTGAAAAGTTTCCTCTACATGAACTTGCATATTCCCTGTGATTGAATCAAAAGAACCATAAAACCTTTTCTTTTTTTTTTAATCCTCACTTGAGGATATTTTTCTTTTTCCTCACCCGAGGACATTTTTCCATTTTTTGTTCAGGTAGAGTGGGAGGGAGAGAGAGGAACAGAGAGAGAGAGAGAAACATCGATGTGAAAGGAACACATCGAGTGGCTGCCACCCGCACAACCGACCAGCGCCGGGGACAAACTGCAACCGAGGTACGCGCCCTTAGCGGGAACCAAACCCAGGTCTCTCAGGACCGCAGGCCGACGCTCTAACCGCTGAGCCAAACCGGCCAGGGTGAGGATATTTTTCTATTTATCTTCAGATAGAGTGGGAGGGAGGGGAAGGGAGAGAAAAAGAGAGAGAGAGAGAGACATCGATGTGAGAAAGACACATTGACTGGCTGCTTCCCGCATGACTCCAACCAGGGCTGGAGACAGAACCCTAACTAAGTTATGTGCCCTTGACCAGAATCAAACCCTTACTGCTTTGGTCTGTGGACGGATGCTCCAACCACTGAGCCAAACTGGCCAGGGTCCTAAAACCTATTTTTAAGATGTTTTTATTCTCAAATATGAGGACAGTCAGAACTACATTCAATGTTCACTTACAACAATCACCTCATCCTAAATTCTTAAAATTCCCTAAGTGGGTTTTTATCTTATCTATAGTAAGAACACAATAAGTATTTGATACCTTAAATCTTATTTTTAATTTCAATGTTAAGATTTGAGACAGCCCACACTCCCACCCCTCTTTTAAAGTGGAGTGTTTCAATTGCACATTTTACAAAAACTAACTCTTTCAATTACCCAGGCTATGGTAAGTTTTTTCTTTTTTTGAATTGCTGAAGCCATACGTTTGTTCTTTACCCCTTTTCTATTTCTAAAATTTGTTGGGTAAACTTGTTCTTATTTACTAATGTAAGTTCACAGTAAGGTAGTCAGCAAAGAAAAACAAATTCTAGTTTATTTGCTGACTAAAATTGGGCATAGTGTTTGGTTGAAATAAACAAAACCCACAGTATCATTCATGTCTCTCTTAGTCATACAGCTTCTTCCATTGGAAGAAATGACCAAAAGTGTATTTAGTTGTTGTAATAGGCCTTTAAATCATTTACAGAATGGAAATAAATACAAAGTGTTTAATTTATTTAAACTGTTATTTTAAAATTATTCCTATACCACACCATTTTTAAATGCCTATTTTGTTTACCCAGTATAAGCAAACTTTTGAAAGATGGGTACAGAAAAGACTTTATAAAAAATAAGGTGTGCCCGGCTGGTGTGGCTCAGTGGTTGAGCGTTGACCCATGCACCAAGAGGTTGCTGATTTGATTCCGGGTTAGAGCACATGCCCAGGTTGTCGGCCAAATCCCCACTGGGGGTATGCAGGAGACGGCCAGTCGATGTTCTCTCTCTTCAATGTTTCCATCTCTCTCTCCCTCTTCCTTTCTCTCTAAAATCAGTAAAGAAAAAATGAGGTGTGACCTACCTTCCCATTTATTATGTACAATTTTTAAAAAGCATTTTGCATATACTGTCCACAAAATTTGATAGCAGCTTCATTTCCTACTCCTTACTTTGGCTCCTGCTTGTAAGTCTATGCTTGCCAGTTGCTCTCATCTGGCCTAGAGATTACAGCATATGGTAATATTGAATAAATGCAAAGGCAAACAGTACTAAACAATGGCAAATGCTCAGTGAAACACCAACAATACAATTGCTCTGTATGGATTGCCTCTGCTATATGAAAAACACAGACATTTAGAAGCCCAACTAGTAATTTAGAAATTAGTACACACATTGTTTCCTGATATGCAGAACTCAAATTTGCAAGCGTTATGTTGCACTAATTTGGGTTTTGGTGTACCACTTTTTAAAAAAGAAACTAGTTGCAAACTGTAGAGGTATACAAATGGTATTTTAAAAAATAGTTTGTCAAAAGAAAGAAAACCTTATCTGCAAAGTTCAAGGAAACAAGAAATTTAAATAAGTAAAACCACATCAAACCTACACGTGTCTGTTTCTCATCCACATTCCATTTTTAAAACTCTTCCATTTACCAGTTACTTTTTTATACTATATTTTTCTTAAGTATTTTGCAGAAGCTTTCCTCTTATCACCGAGTTTCTACAACAAAAAAGCAACTATCACTTCCATACTAGTTATTATGGTACTTTAGTAATAGCTGCACTTTAAAAGCATGTTTTCAAAGCATTCTGCTGTCATTAAGTACATACTGATGTTAATTTTGAGGAAAGCAAGAATGGATATTTCCTAGGCTTAACCAAAACTTTTTCACATTCTTTGAAACTTCTTAACAATTAAAACCTAGTGGGTCACTAACTACATTCTTAAGAGCAACATTCAAAACCACAGCAGGTTACAAACACTATAAACTACAATAACTACATTGCCACCTACTATTCAACTAAAAATAGTGTTCTAGTGACAAATACAAAAACAATTCATTTAGAGTAACTTATTAATGTTTTGCCTTCATTTTCTCCTTTAAGAAGTTGAAAAACAATTTAACTTTTATGAATCACACACTAAGATTTGTAGGGAGAAAAAAAGCACCCTGTTCTCAACAAGTACAAAATGGCATTCTATATTACTATAACTAGATAGATGTTGACAATTTTATGGTATCAAATCTCAAATCATTTTTATCAATTTCTCTCACTTCCTAGCAATGTCGTTCCTTCTTTCTAAATGTAGCTGATGTGGCTGTATGTGAACAAAAACAATAAAAATAAATAAATAAAGAAAGAAAGAAAGAAAGAAAGAGTTCGAGATAAATGGCAAGTTCTTGGAGGCAAGAAGAGATCCAAATGCCAGGCACCTCCTCCTGGTAGTGTGGCAGTTAGAAAGTGCCGCTGGACTGCTACTGATATGATGCCGTATATAGAGAACCCTAAAGATTCCACCAAAAAGCTACTAGAACTAGCCCTGGTCAGTTTGGCTCAGTGTTTAGAGCACTGGCCCTCACACCAAAGGGTCTTAGGTTCAATCCCCAGGAATACTACTCAGCCATAAAAAAAAAAAAAGAAGAAGGAAATCTTACTTTTTTTTTACATCATTGATGAACCTGGAGAATATTATGCTAAGTGAAATAAACCAGTCAGAGAAAGACAAGTACCATATGATTTCACTTACATGTGGAATCTAATGAGTAAAATAAACTAACAAACAAAATGGAAACAGACCCATAGATACAGAGAACACACTGAAAGCTGTCAGAATGGAGGGGGCTTGGGGGGCTAGGTAAAAAGATGAAGGGAAGCAAAGAAAACCAAGTCATAGCCACAGACAACAGTATGGTGATTACCAGAGTGAAAGGGTGGTGGGGAGAGTTAGAAGAGGATAAAGGGGGTATAAACAGTGATGGAAGGAGACTTGACTTTGGGTTGTGAACACACAATACAACATACAGGTGATGTATTATAGAACTGTACACCTGAAACCTATAAAATATTATTAACCAATGTCACCTTACAAATTCAGCTGAAAATTTTTTTAAGTAAAGTTTACAAAATAAAAACTACTGATAGAGTTAAAACTATTGGGTGTCCTTTAAATAGCTGACACATCTATGAAGCATTTAAGACTAAATTTACTTTGCATTGCCTATAAGATTAGTGAACCTTAAAACCTAAATTCTGGTTATGTACTATCAACAAAGTACCTTTAGCAGAACACCTGGAAATGCTGCAGGTACTATTTGTAGCCATCCAGACTCATCAGTCTGATACTAGTTGCAAACAATAGCTTTATAGCCTACAGCATCCCAGCGACAATTTGTT